TTTTGTTTGTTGTTGTCTCATACTTTTAGATATGCTGTTATTTGTAAATGCTACTGCTTATGTTAGCTTTTAATATACGGTTTTATCCTGATTAAAGCTTTAATACAGTATGGCAACTGCACGTGCGTCCATGTTTAACGCTTCTCATAGCTATGTGAAAATTAGTGTATAATTGGAGCAGTTCATTGTTGGAGCTGAGCTGAATGAGAGAGAGATAGAGAGAGAGAGAGAGAGAGAGAGAGAGAGAGAGAGAGAGATGCAGAGCGTGTGTAGAGCAGGGGAACGCGAGGAACAGTATTAAGAACCGCTGCTTTAGAACATTGATTTTGAAACTTGTGAATCCATTAGAATCGTTAGAAGACAGAATCGCGATTCATATATGAATAGATTTTTACGTGCACCTCTAGTTTTCTCTTCCTCTTCTCTAAAGCAGCACAGCATGGCCTCGCCCCATTTGCTGCCTTTTCCCGAGGGCGGGGTTTATCTGGGTTTGTTACGTCACGAACCCGGGAAGTAACTTCTTGTAGTCCCTACCAGCCGTTTTTGGCATTAAACTGCCAGAATTTTAAAAGACAATATCTCCATTTGCATTGAACTTTCAGCTTCGTAACTTTGCAGATATTGTTTATGCTCAAACAGCAACATTACACACCAACCAACGTTAAAAAAGTGAAATCGCAATCAACCACCCTTTTAAGGATTCCAATATATTTGAATATATCAAGATGATCTAGTCGTGTTGCGACATCACCTCAGCTCCAGCACTGCCATTCATAGGTGGAGTGACTTCAACCTCCACATTAGTGCTGTTGGGAAGATTCTTGTCAACTAGAAAATGAAACAACAGAAATCTGAAATGAAATGTTATTTTATTATTATAATATGTAATGATGTGATTTAAGCGCTGAAATCCCCATAAACCCCAACACTAACCGCAGATTTTAGAGGCTTATGATAGAAGTAAATATTTTGTTTATGTGGCTATATTATTAAAGTTACCAGGAAATCAAAATAAAAATGTCGCTGATGTTACAGTGGACTCATTGCAAATTTCCAAAGAAAATATATATAATCTTCTTTTAGAGGTTCCTAATCAGAAAATGCATTCCTTTTCAGCTGATGTCACCAAATCCCTTTACTTTTCATATACTTTTGCAAACATAGTTGGCATGGAAAGGCCACTTTTCAGTGGATAAAAATTCCAACCCTACAGCGATTATGCTGATTTTACTCAGAAATATGTCACATTACTGAAGTAAAATGGGTAAGGAGTGCTGTTACACAAAATATTAAACATACCAACACCATTTGCCTCATCTTGTCCCTTTTTTCTTGCAATCTTGTGTAGAATTGATGCCTTCTCCTTGAACCTCCCTAGAATATATGACATATTTTATTAATAATACTTAACGAATCTATGATGTGAGTCAATGTGTGTGTATTTGTAAATTTGGAGTGTATGTATTTGCACATTACCGTCGCTGAGAGGATCGAGAGTGTGAATCATTAGCTGGAAGATGCTGTTTCTCATGAGAGTGTTGTGGAGGGAGGCGGAGCTTCCTCCTCTCTGGAGGCGGGGTTTAGCCTATAGGGAAAAAAAGAAGAAATGCCTTTAGATATTTAAATGTACTGTTATGTATGTTATGCTGATAGGGTCCTGATGATGATGATGCTGCTTACCGAGAGTTTATTCTCATCATCTCCTGCACTGATAACCTTGAGAAAAAAAAAGAGAGAAACAGAACTTAGTGAATTCCATGAAAAGTAAAATCAAGGCCAATTTTTTTTTTTAATTCCTGAAAAAAATAGTTTGGGGTATTCTTAAAACAACCCCACACCTTAAAAGGCATTTTCAGAGAAACTCAACAAGTACAGGAAATGATAAAACCATTAGCCATATATTAGCACCATATATATTTTTGTTTTCACAGAAACAACACACCTGACTTCAGAGCAAAAATCAGTCATTTAATTCCAGTGATGATTTGTTTTATCACCACAAAAGCAGCAACAGCAGCTCCAGCATTATCAGGAGTTTATTAAAAAAGTATTTTATAAAAAATGTTAACAGCCATGGTTTTCTGCTCACCATATTAAGTTTAATTGTGGTATATATACAAACATACATACAGTACACACTACACACACACACACACACACACACACTACTAGTTTGGAGTTGGATTATGTTTTGAAATAAATCTCTTATGCCTACCAAGGCTGCAATTATTTGATCGAAACAGTATTACAATTTTAAATAACTGTTTTTTTCTATTTTAATATATTTTAGAAATAAGTTGTTCGGGTGATGTTGAGCTGAATTTTCAGCAGTCATTACACCAGTCCTCAGTGTCACATGGTACTTCAGAAATCACTCTAATATGCTGATTTGGTGCTCTAAAAATCTCTTATATTCAATTTTGAAAACAGTTGTGCTACATAACATTTTGGGGGAAACCAAGAGACTTTTTTCTGGATTCTTTAATGAATAGAAAGTTGAATCAGAAATAATTTGTACCATTATAAATGTCCTCACTTTTGAATCAATTTAATGTGTCTTTGCTTTTTGTATGTGTTTGTACAGACAGACAGACAGACAGACAGACAGATAGAGTATACATGATAGTAAGAGATATACCATAATTAAACATAATAATTATTCATTTTAAGCATAAAAACATTTAAAATCACCATGGGGTGTGCTGAATATTTTACCTAATTTATACTTCTGCATTAACAAAGATTTGACTCCATTTAACTCCTATAAATACAGGAAATAGTATGAAAGGATCAGTTGTTACATCTGATTATATTTTTAATATAGAAAACCAATTTCATAAATAGAATGGGAATGCCTCATTACATAAACAAGACAAAAAAATAACAATAAATAAATAAATGGAGTGTAACAAAGATAAGAGGACATTTAAGGCCAGCTTTAAAAAGATCAGATCAATCTATCCCCAACATGCAGAACCAAGAACATGTTAAGCTGTTACACAGCACAGCTAAAAACAGCTAAGACTTATACCTGACCCTAAATAGCACTTCTTGAGTATTGTATAGGAAGGCCAATCATAGAATTTTGACCCATCTTTCAAATACCATCAATAACAGTTTCTAAGAAACCACTGAAACTAAAAGATGAAAATTACAAAATCTGCCCTCAAAATCTCATACAAATGTGTCGTCAAGCACTGCACAGTAGCTTTTGTCTGATCACTGTATGTTAGATTTTAAACAAAACTGCACTGCATTTAATTCCATATCCAATAAATAACCAGTAAATCAACCATATCATTCTAAACTAAAATTTATGAAGAAAGGTGAATTTATTTGAATCCATCATTAATGCCTGATATTATATACACTGTGTGTGTGTGTATATATATATATATATATATATATAATATAAGTATAGTATAAGTATGTATATGTATAAGTGCTCATAAGTTTACATACCCCTTGCAGAGTGTGCAAATGTGCAAGAATGTGCATGTGCCAAATTGCATGTTATTTTTTATTTAGTACAGTCCTGGATAAGCTATTTCACATAACAGATGTTTGTTTACATATACTCCACAAGACAAAATAATAACTGAATTTATAAAAATGACCCCATTCAAAAGTTTACTGAAAAAAGTTTGTCCTGAGCAGTTCAACTGCTGCCTGCTGTTCTTCAGAAAAATCCTCCAGCTCCTGCACATTCTTTGGTTTTCCAGCATCTTCTGCATATTTGAACCCTTTCCAACATTGACTGTATGATTTTGAAATCCATCTTTTAACACTGAGGACAATTAAGGGACTCATGCATAACTATTACAAAAGGTGAAAACGTACTGATACTCAAGAAGACCACACAATGGATTAAGAGACGGGGGGTGTAAACTTTTTAAATTGGATGATCAGGGTAAATTGTACTTATTGTGTCTTCTGGGAAACATGTATTTATGTAGCTTCTGAAGTCCAGAACTAAATGAAAAAATATGACTGTTAAACAAAATGAGAAGAATTTACACATTATCATCCTGTTCAAAAGTTTTTAATGCATTGTGTAGCCTTCTTGAGCATCAGTAAATGTTTCCACCTTTTGTAATAGTTGTGTACGAGTCCCTCAGTTGTTCTTAGTGTGAAGATATGGATCTCAAAATCATACAGTCACTTTTGGAAAGGGTTCAAATATGCAGAAGATGCTGGAAAACCAAAGAATGTGTAGGAGCTGGAGGATTTTTCTGAAGAACAGCAGGCAGTTGAACTGCTCAGGACCAACAAGGAACTCATGAACAAATATCGCAAAATATAAAAACAGTCGTGGATCATCCAGGAAATGACACATATTATTAAGATTCAAAGGTATGTAAACTTTTGAATGGGGTCATTTTTTATAAATTCAGTTATTTTGTCTTGTGGAGAATATGTAAACATCTGTTATGTGAAATAGTTTATTCAGGACAGTAGTAAATAAAAAATAACATGCAATTTTCATGATCCCTCTTATTTTGTTTCAATTATTAACATTTTGCACATTCTGCAAGGGGTATGTAAATTTATGAGCACAACTGTACATATACAGTATATATAGTAAATATTTATATATATATATATATATATATATATATATAAGCATATAATACATTTACATTTAGTCATTTAGCAGACACTTTTATATTATATTTTTTAAATCAGGAAAGTTATGACTTTAAAGTATCATTAATGTCTAGTATTATATTATATTAAGTAATATTTTTATATTTAAATTGTATTTCTATTTAATAAACATTTTAGAACAAAAAAACAAGTAATTTATTTTATTTGAAGAAAACAATGTAATTTATTTATTTTGTGGAACTATTTCATAGTCTTCAGGTACATAAGAGAGAATACATTATTGCAAGTTCAAATTGTTTATAGCTCTGCTCCTAAATGGTTAAAATAAGCTCTTTTTCAACAAGCTCTTTCCCAGTGAGGTGGCAGCACCATCAGTGTTCTCATGAGAAAATCAGTTGGCTCAGCAGAGACACACGAACAGCCTTAATTAAGCCTAATCAGCCCAGTAGAGCATAAAGGACTTAAGCACGTTTCCTTCGTGATTAGCAGGATCTGCCATTTGCTCCCTGTTCACGTTCCTCCCTTCCCAGCTTTGGTCTTTCTGCAGGTGGAAGATAAGCTCTGGCCTATGGAAATACAGCTGAGCTCTGTGTGCTCAGCGAGCTTTAAAGCAGAGGTCAGCCAACCGGAGACCAGTTCGCTGAAGCTGTCTGACATTACCGGACGTCCTGCTGCTAGGCCAACAATCTTAAACGTCTGAGTTAAGGCCGTTCGCACTAAGAATGAAAACTATACTACATTATCCTCCAGACAAATGGATGACAACATTATTCTAACCCACCTTCCAATTACTGTCCAATTAAAGTAGGATGGATGCTTATTGCCTGTTGATGTTTTTATCAGTTATAAGCTGGAAAAAAAATTGCCCCGAATTTGATCCCAGCGATATCATTTCTCTATCGTTATTGTTATAATTATAGTTGTGGTGTGGACTTCGCTATTCTCTTACAGTTTTTAAAACTTGATAGTTACAGAAATTATAAAGATGAAAAAATGGTGTAGAAACAATTTTCACTCAGAAATTGCTAGTACATTTCATAATTACAAAGAAATAGCATTGAAGTAACATTGAAACAAACGTGAAATTTTTAAATAAGACTGAAATAGAATTTTCTCGCAAAAGATTCTGCAATATTTACAACTTCGAAAATAAATTGAATGTTATATTTTACTACCATTGGCGTTTTAGTTTATATTTTCACATTATAGAATTCATTACATGGCAATCATGTGAACATAATTTTAAACATAACATTAAGCACCAAACAGTCAAAAATCTGACTGAGGCCTAAGACTACACGTAGGACCTTAAAATAATCTCTAAATTCAGAGTCTCAAAGCTGAATCCTGAATAAAGAAGTGCAAACACTTTAAAACAAATTAAAAGAAATAAGAAGAATTGTTTGAAATTATGTAATTTCATTTTTACAGCATTTCTTTGACAACGTAGCACAGGTATTGCAGGGACTGTCTCATTCAGAACATCCCACTGATTCCTTCTTTTTCCACACATTTTGAGTCAATCTGATCAATCTATAGTTGCAGGAAAATTATGATTCTGATGGACTGATTGCACCATACCACTTTGGCAAGCGACTAGAGATGCAAAACTTTGGCTGACGACTACAGATGCAAAAGGTAGGAGACATGAAAAATAAAAGTCCATTTCATGCTTTTAAGAGCCCTCCAGAAAAGATTTTACTAGTAAAAGGGATTTCACTAGTAAAACATCTACCATAATATAATGAAATATTAGCTATATACAGTAGTATATGTAGCATACAGAATAGCTTACTCAAGGGCACACTGGTGATTTGAACATGGAGCTGATCATTTCATTTATCAGAAGAGATCTTTAAGCGCTATCTGAGACCAAAAACTGAAGCAGAAAAATATTAGCTGCAAGATTAGGACTGACCTTGTTTTGGCCTTCTGTTGTCTGGAGTCTGGTGAGCTACCATATGTGTTGTATTACAAAAAAAAAATTCTTACAGATGTTTCACGAGGCGTGCACACACTGCTTAAATTCTAACCTGTCGACATCATGTGAAAATGTTAGAAAATAAACAACTGACCTTGTGAATCCTTCAATTTCAAACTTTATGCAT